GGAGGAGAGGAGGGGTGTGGAGGACAGAATAACTATTTGGTTTGTGTTGTGGAGGAAAGTATTTTGATAGAGAACATAGATTGCGGTGTAGAGAGTGGGTTTGATGTGAAGATTGGGATGGTTGCAGTTGAGGTATCTACTGGAGATGTTGTTCATGGGGAGTTCAACGATAATTTTATGAGGAGTGGGCTGGAAGCTGTGATTTTAAGCTTGTCTCCTGCCGAGTTGCTCCTCGGGGAACCTCTTTCTAAGCAAACAGAAAAGGTAGTGAAAAGTTGGTGGAAGATGTGGTATATTAGAACTGAAACAATGATAAATTGTTGTTTTCGTCAATGGATTGTATATCAGTGAGTTAATTTTAGGAGCTAAACTTTTTGTTCTGGGACTTGCCTGGCCTTTCTATTTGAGTGGATGTGTAACTTTAACAGGAGAGAAAAAAACATTGTAAAAAGCTATATATCAAATGTGGCCAGGGAGATAGATGATTAGTGTTTTAGTTAATTTAGTTTAGAGATAATAACTCAAGTTAATACTTATCCTCCCCTCCATATGACAGTTTAGGATTTTTGTTTGTTGTTATTTTATGATATCAACAAACCAGATTGTGGTTGTGCCTTTGAACTTAAAAATTGGAGAAGAAAATTCAGTATTAATGTCTGTTAAACCGTGTTTAACCACTATAAACATAGTTTATTATTAGAAATGTAACATGTACGCTCCATTGGTAATGAATCAGATCAAAGAGATCCAATTACGAACTCATTTACTCCTAGTCCTTTTACCACTTCAGTTGTTATACCAAATTTTTCATTTTTTAAAAAGAAATATTAATTTGCATTTTGTCGTTTTATCTATCAATTTCTTTTCATGCTTCCATTATCTTTTATCACCAGTTGCTCCTTGCATATGCTGGACCTAGCTCAAATGTTCGTGTAGAGCGTACCTCAAGAGATCACTTCATGGACGGTGGTGCTCTAGCAGATGTTATGTCTTTGTATGAGAATTTAGGTGGGGATAGTTCAGAAGGTAATCAAGACCAGAAGCTAAAGGTGGTAAAACAGGAAAATCATGGCCCTGCAATTCAGGTTTGGAGACATTCTTCTAAATGCATGCCCAAAGTTTATTAGGATAGTGCATTAACTGAAAAAAAATTATTATTAAGTTAATATTTTCTTTTTAGGATGTCATGTTATTTGTTATTGATTTTTCTAAAGCATTATTTATTTACATTTTTGGATTTTGTTTGGTTGTGAAGGGAATTATGGACATGCCAGATTTGGTTATCCAAGCATTGGCCTTAACCATTCATCACTTCAAACAATTTGGATTTGAAAGAATTGTGTGTCTTGGAGCATCATTTAGATCTTTATCTTGCAGCATGGAGATGAACCTCTCCGCCAATGTACTTCAACAATTGGAGGTAGTCAATAAATTTTTGTATTGTGCCAAGGAACTTGTAACAATATTTCTTTTCATAATTCCAACTACTGTTAGCCAGGTTTTCTAGTTTTACTGCCACTAGCATTGCTTGTTTAATCATCGACCACAATTGTATTTACTGCAGTTTTGCTTGTAAATCTGGAGGTCTGTTTAAGTTGCCACATCTATGTGCAGAGGTGGGTCAATAAATTTATGTCCCAGAATGATTTATTTTGCCACTTTTGTGGCTCTCTCTCATCATTTGTCGGTGCTTGAAACTGAACAACTGAATGCAAAGCACTGCCAAGAAAAAATTTCAATTAGTAACAAGTGGTCAAAAGGACCTATAATTTTACTGATGAACTTTTATTTTTCCAGAATTTTGTGCATAAATTAGACTATTTAATGGTACTCATTCATCCAAATTTCAACTTTAAACTTGGCATTCACTGTAATAGATGTGTTTAATTGCCAGATTTTGAAGAACAACTCAGATGGCTTGGAGTCTGGTTCCTTGCTGCATACCATGAACCATACTCTAACAATATATGGTTCAAGGCTTCTTAGACACTGGGTAAGAGTATACTCATCTAAGTTATTCCCACAAATTTCTTCATAGTTCTGCTGTGTGATTTAAGCTCCATCATGGTACAGGTGACTCACCCTTTACGTGATAAAAACATGATATCTGCTCGTCTTGATGCTGTTTCTGAGATTGCAGAATCCATGGGGGCCTGTAAATCTTCTCAGATTGTCAGCGAGGTTGATGGGGAAGATTCTGATCTAACAATTGGACAAACAGAATTCTATTATTTGCTTTCCTCTGTCTTGACAACATTAGCAAGATCACCTGATATTCAACGTGGAATAACTAGAATCTTTCATCGTACTGCTACTGCATCAGAGGTAAGAAGAATATGATGTCTGTGTCCATATTTAATGGAATTTTTAGCTTTTATATCTTTGTTTCTGCCGTCTGACCCGCTTATTGCTGGGTACTTTTCTGATTTATGTTGTTTGTATGCTCTTTTTTTGGCAGACATTTAGTTAATATAATCTTCAAAGACAATTAAAATTGATTGGTCTTTTTGAAGTTTTGACAATTCAGTAATTTGCATAGATTATTGTTTATTAATTTCTTCGAAGTTTTGGTAAGTGATAGTTCAATGCAACTTTCAGCTTTGGTAAGTGATAATTTAATTAATGATTTTCTAAGTTTTGTTTATATGTGCACATAAAGTGATCATAAACAACAGCTGTTGGTAGTGGCAATTTTCTATGGCTGTCATGCATGCTGACAGATTCTGCATAATTGGATAGTTCAGTTTATTGCAGTTCTTCAAGCTATATTGTATGCTGGAAAACAACTTCAGCGGCTTAACATAGAGAAAGAGGAGAGCACTGAAAAAATGCAAAGAACGATTGTGCACTCTTGGCTGTTGAAAAAATTGATTTTGGCTGCTTCATCATCTGGTGTAGTGGGAAATGCTGCCAGATTATTATCTGCTCTGAATAAAGAAGCAGCTGATCAAGGGGATTTGCCAAACTTAATAATTATTTCTGGCGGTCAGTTTCCGGAGGTTTGTTGTTGATATGAAGTTTCTATCTGCTGACTTCTAGCGTTCTTTTCCTTATGCTAAAACTCCACCTAAAACCTATGGTGTGAATTGTGCTCTATAGCTTGCTAGAGCCCGGGAGGAGGTTCAGATGGCAAAGGAAAAACTGGAATCTCTGATTGGCCTGTATCGCAAACAACTCCGGATAGGAAATTTGGAATTTCTTAGTGTGTCTGGTATCACATATTTAATAGAGGTACATCGATGGCTTTATTATGGACAGTGATTTAAGCTTTCCGTGGGTGAGATTAAAATTTATGTAATAATTCTTGTCTCCATTAAAGGACTAATATATATAGTTTCTTGATTTGGTCGAAGTAAGTTCATAGTTATTCTTGTTTGTGATAATAACTACTATCTTCTTTCCTTTTTTCCCCTGCTTCTAAAGTTTATTGTAGAGGTTAAATTTAAATGCATAGATGGTGGTCGGTAGTTGGTAGGAACTCTAATCTATATTGCTAATTTGGTTGAAATATGTTCTGACAACTTTTCTGGAATTAACACAAAAAGTAATATTAGATAGAGCAGAGAAGGAAGCATTTCAATTTAGAATAAGATTTCCTCTTAAAAAAATACAAGAAAAAGGTAACAGAAAACAAGAAAAATACAAAACCCTGAAGTATTGACTGCAGTTGGTACAAACTTGGCATTGCTTTGGAAAGGTCTTTGTTTTTTGGGTGGTTTTATTAGTGAATAGCTGTAGTCCTAGTTTTATTACTAGACCTAAATAAAGATTGATCTTGACTGCAGCTACCAACAGATGCCAAAGTACCGTTAAATTGGGCCAAAGTTAACAGTACTAAGAAAACCATTCGCTATCATCCACCTGAAGTATTGACTGGTTTAGATGAGTTATCACTGGCAAATGAGGAACTGGTGATTGTCTGCCGAGCTGCTTGGGATACCTTTCTGAGGGGGTTTGCTGAATGTTATGTAGAATTTCAGGCTGCTGTTCAAGCGCTTGCTGCTTTGGATTGTTTGCATGCCCTTGCAATTCTCTCAAGAAATAAGGTTTCCCATTGAAGGTCATTAAAAGATTTTCACATTTTGCAATCAGATGAGTTTATGATATTTTCTAATAATTTGCTGCAGAATTATGTTCGTCCAGTCTTTGTTGCTGACGATGAACCTGTTCAGATTTGTATCACCTCTGGTCGTCACCCTGTATGTACTGGTGAACTTGTTGTATACCTACTGGATTTCTGTTTAATCTACTAAACTTTTGGTTGTCTTTTATGGAGAAACAATAAATATTTAGTTCTTAAGTCCTGAAAAAAGGGTCCTCAGGTGTGTGTTGATTGCAGCATAATTCATATGTTGTTGTTGGGGTATTTCTTGACTTCAGACTAATTTTTCCAGGTTTTGGAGACGATTTTACAAGATTGTTTTGTTCCCAATGACACAAACTTGCATGTGGACAGAGAGTATTGTCAAATTGTTACTGGACCCAACATGGGGGGAAAGAGTTGCTACATTCGGCAAGTTGCTCTTATTGCTATTATGGCTCAGGTAGAATATCACTATGACATTTTTGGTTTTCTTTCCTTTTCATTTCAATGAAGGACCGATAGGGTATTATCTCATTTACTCTATTCTGGTAATATTGCAATATGCATCTTCTTGAATATTTTAGTACTAAGTCTCATACTTGTCCTGATAATTAACACATGTTTCGACTCGTAAAAATTTGATACATGGGCTAGTCTATCATTTGATTGGAATATTTCTGTAGTTTTCGGATTTGATTGTGAAAAAAATGTTTATTTGGGACATTTATGGAGGACTATATTTTTGTGACTAAAATGGAAATTGAGATAAATTTTAATTCACTAGTATCAATTCTTGAAATTGCTGCTCTGGATCTTGTTACATTTGTTAAAACTAAATGCTCATGAACACAAGGTCAAATAACTTTTGGAAAGTTAAATGGATGTTTTGGCATTCAGGTTGTTTCCAATTTCCTCTGTTTCTATTTGCATTTCAGTTCATTTATTCATTTTCCAGTTTCTGTTCTGCTACTGTTTTTAAGTAGATTCTTATAATTTTTTTCTCCTTATTGTCTGTGGATTTCTGTCCTTTATACACAAAAAAACTTATACAGCCGTTGCTTTATGAAAAAATGTGACCCTGATGCTACTAGGTTGGTTCCTTTTGTACCAGCAGCATCAGCAAAACTGCACGTGCTTGATGGCATTTATACTCGAATAGGTACTTCAGACAGTATCCAGCAAGGACGAAGCACTTTTCTAGAAGAACTAAGTGAGGCTTCCCACATACTGCACAATTGTTCTGCCAGTTCACTGGTTATCATTGATGAGCTTGGGAGAGGAACTAGTACACATGATGGTGTAGCTATTGCTTATGCTACACTTCATCACCTTATAGAACAGAAAAGATGCATTATCCTCTTTGTCACGCACTACCCTAGGATTACTGCCATCAGGACTGAATTTCCTGGCTCTGTAGGGGCGTATCATGTCTCATATCTGATCTCACATAAAGATGTGGATACAACAGACTTGCAACCTGGTCATGAAGATGTCACCTACTTATATAAGCTTAAACCTGGTGTTTCAGAGAGGAGTTTTGGATTTAAAGTTGCTCAGCTAGCACAGGTCTCTCTCTCTCTCTCTCTCTCTCTCTCTCTCCGAAAAGGGAAAAAATATGTTTTATTTTTATTGCAAAATTGGAGAGTGCCATGTTAAACCAATATCAAACTCAAAAAAAGAAGTGAGTCAACATTTGTGAGGAAACAACTAATAAGCTGGTTGTCAATTTAGCTTTGGTAGTGGTATATAATTCTTCTTAGTTGTCTTTTGTTTAAACTGATTCTTCCAATTCATTGCAGCTTCCTTCCTTGTGTATCAGTCGTGCTATTTCTATGTCTGCAAGGTTAGAAGCGGCGATGAGCAGCAGAGTTCAAAACAGATCTGGAAAAAGTCAATTTCTTTTAACACAACCTAGTAATCGAGAACCAGAAGCACCAGATAATATTTTGGAAGCTCCGGAAAGTTTCTATGCTGGGAAGACAGAGTACATAGGAGAATCAATTGTTGCCTGCAGAAGTTTGATTATGAACATGAAATCTGCACTCTCGGATGATGACCTTGGAAAAAGCTTCCAATTTTTGAAGCAAGCTAGGAGCATTGCAAGGGAATTAATCTACAGGTAAAGATCAACCTGAAATTTGATCCCCCCTCCCCCTCCTCCTGGACTTTTCTCTTTGATATATATCTTGTTTTATAATTTTCAGTGGAGTAAATTTTTGTGACTGGAGTCAAGAAATTTGGGTGGTCCTATTTGG